AAAAAAACCAACAGAGATTGCTGCAAGCAGAGCAGAAAGTGGTTTGCTCAGAGACAAAGAACTTAACTTACAGAGCTGAAGTCTGCAAACCCCAAGGAAGAGTCTTTAGAAGTTTTACTTGAAGAGGAGGGAGCAAATGGATCTTTTCCACTAAATGGGTCCCCAAACCCCTTTTTACTTTGAAACAGGTCACTGCTGTCAGCCCCAAATGGTTGGAATGGATCATGGGGCTTGGGAAAATCTGCAGAACCAAGGTGGCTTACAGGAGTACTTTTACCTGGAAAGTTTAGGAAAAAAAGAAAAAAAAAGAAAAAAAAAACAAAAGGAGAAAAAGAGAAGTTACTTACCATGGACAATGCAAAGCCCTGAAATAGGAAAATGTGCTGATATATTTTTAGCATCATCCATCTTTCCTGAGGTGGGTGAAAATTGCACCAAATATTCATTTTTCAATGGAAATCATCTAAAACAGTTGTTGTTATTTCAATGGAATTATTATCTCATACATGGTAAAATATGAACATCATCAAGATTTTCAATGATAAACCCTTTATAAAGACATTTGGTTCAGAAGGAYTGGACAAGTGTGACTTTGGTTTTCCAGGATTGGAGATATTTCAAGTTTCAGTTTGGTATTATATGGAAAATAAATGTGCAAATTCAAGCCTCAGTGATTCAYTTTTAATTCCCCTTGGCAAAATATTATTTTGTGAGGTCAAATAATTCAAGAAATAAATATTTTTTCCCCCTCCTTTAAAAAAAGAAAAGATTGTTCCTGGCAATTACTCATCCAGCTTCCAGGGAAAATACTCYTTGGATGAACATTCTTGATTGCAAGGTGTACTTGATAAAGGAAAACCTAGAAACATTCTTGAAATAAATAAATACTTACAACCTCCCACGTGATAACCTGAATTCCACACATTATTTGCAGTAACGGAGATGTTTGTTTACAGATGAGCAATTCTTTGAATTATAATTTAATAGGAATCTTATTATTTATTTTCATTAGGATACAACTACCAGGAAAGCACAGAGMAATGGAATCAACCCCCAGATTTCAGAGATTTGGCATATCTAAGCCATGGCCTGGGAGCTTTTCAGCAATTACTTCATGAGCTTCATAATATCTGCTCAGATCTGTGGGA